ATTTGGCCTTTCGGTATCGTGAGTTGGCTAGACAAGTTGTAATCGGGAAAATGTTAACGCGCCATTACGATGAGCAAATGTGCCTTGTGAGGAGCAGCTAGTAAGTGTGTGATTTTATAAATAACAATCGGTTTTGAAATTTTAAAAAGCCCTTTTCTAGGTAACAATGGGAGCGAGGACATCTTGTGATTAGACAGTGATGACTTTTCCCATTGACAAAACTAAACTTTGAAATAGGTAGAAGGTGTTAGTACCTTCATTTTATAGCATTAGATCTCAGCCCTTCTACTCTGTATTCTGTTAATTCGTTTAATTCGTTTGTAAGACCAAAACTGACTAATCGTCTTAAGCAAAATCAACGTTGATTATATCACACTTTTTTAAACATTTCATATCTATTTTATCGTGCTTTAAGTAATGCATGAAGTGCACACAAAGCCTAGACAGAATGCACCCTCTCTGACAGCTGCTACCACTGACTGCCATTCCCATCACCAACCGTTGGTTCAACTATGAGATAGCTGTGCTTTTCATCTTTGTGCTCAGCATGCACATCACCTTGTTAGCCCGCCAAATCTAACATTTGCTCTTTTGTGCTTTTACATTCCCGTCATCAGGAGGTAGATAGAATGTTCGTAAATGCTTAAATAGCAAAATGATTTAGGACAAGAAAAATAGGTTTGGACATTTCCGGTTCATGTTGTACCTAGTCATTGATTTGCTTCCTTGAATGCAAGCTGCGAAGAGGTGGTTTGAGTGCACCAAAAACCTCTAATTTTGTCTCATCAACTAGGCATATAAGCATTCGTTCACAATTGACTACTTATGCAATTTGTTACAGTCTCTTCGCCACAAAATGTCTTTCTTTGCCTCACAGTCCCGACAAATGTATGAAGAAAGGCCTCATATCTACACCTAATGGAAATACCACAAAGGCTAGGAAAAGGCTTTAGCAATAAAATAGCCCTAAATATGGAGATAAAAGCATTAGTATGGGCTGCCTCTCCTGCCTTGCTTTTATGCCATATCTGTTAGAGTTCTACATCCTCAGGCCTCTAATTCCTTCTCGGTAGAGCTGGTCCTCTAACAGGGCATGGCATCATGTCGCGTAAGAATGTGATTCAACAAACTTGAATTTTAACAAAAAACAAATTTCAGTCCTTTAGGGATACTAAAACGCCAATTTTGTAAGCCCAGTGGTCAAAAGAACTAACTAGGTACCAGTCACTTCCACCAAGTAGCGATTTTCCGACAAATGGGTGTTACGTAATCAATCCCTGACTGCTAAAACAGCATAACTCAGCGAATTAAACATGCAAGTTTATCACTTCCAATAATCCATGTGTAGGTTTGAAGGAAAATCTCTGTCCGTTATGCATTTTTTATGCACCATAAAAGGTGTTTTTCATACAAGCTATATGTACTCACAAGCTGCTTGAAGCATTTCAATCAACGGTAACCATCCATATTATTGAAAAAATGTGGTAGAATCGGCGACGTTGACGGCATCTATGGGATTGTTATGTCAGAGACACATAAGCATAAAAGTGGAAGTTGGATCTCACTTGGCATTAGATGCGGTAGAGGAGTTCATACTTTTCCGGTAACATGGTCTCGTGATAAAATTTTTCTGATACTTATTCTCCTCCAAAAGTGATCTTGAAGCGGTTCCTCACGACACTGTCTATAAATTCGCTTTCTATTATCAATATTTATTTTAAGGAGGAAACAGGTCTTAAACTCAACGAAGTTGCTTGATGCCGCACGCTCAACAGCGCTGAAGAGGTCAATTCTTTTTGAAGTCATACAAGTGCATTGAGTAATATTTTAGGGTCCACACAACGCGGGCTTTTCGCTATGTTCACCAAAGTCGCGCACCTAAGGCACTACCTACTAGCATGCAAGAACATAGTGGGAATGGACTATTAAATGTTGGCTGACCTTGTTATAACAGTGAAAGAGATTGTTGGTTGCGCGCTGGTACGAGGAATCGCAGCATCAGGGTTCCACAATCCACTACACTAATAGAAATCCATGCAGTAATACAAAACTTCCGCAGATAGATGGTGTTATGGTGCAGCGAAAACCATATTTTGGAGCGGCAAATGAGTAGGGCACTGATGTAGGATCTTGAAGTGGGTCTGGTGTAAGAGGGTTTCCTTACACCCTCTTGGCACCAACAGAGAGGGGAATGGCCCAGTGGTGCAAGGTTGCCGGTTGAGTATGACAGGTATGTTCAAAACTAGATCTTGAGAAATAGTTTTAACTGTAACAAGAAGGTGCTAAGTAGCTTAAGCGCTTGATGGACCTAGACTCACAGATTCCAACAATTATTCTAGAGTAGCATGAGAATTTGGACCGTGTGTACAAAAAGAAATTGATAGACGTCTCAAAGCCAAAGATACTGGTGTTCTGAGATCGCTCTAGACGTATTTGCCTTCTAATAAAGCTGTGCTAGTTGCAGCAGCTTTAAAATGTCCGGTCTCACAGCAGTCGGACTACTGTCTACAGTCTATGTTAACAGACATTTCTAGGGAAAGTGTAGGTATTAATATCATGGGTCTCCTGTCATCCTCCAAGAGAGGAACTCCATAATGTTGGAAATTGCAAACGAGGCGGAACCCATGAAGACAGAAGACGCTCAAATGTTGGTGCTTTAGTTGTGCTCAACCAATAAACTTGTTATCATAGAGCCTAGTCTTCCCAAATCTTTGCAAGGCCTTTGAGATATTTAAGACTGCATGATATCTAAACGTCTGCAAGGTGGCAGACACGTAAAATGGATAAGCCGGAGCCTGATTAGACTACTATAGCCATTCGTTGTGCATGCGCAACCTGAAGACCTTGATTTAAGCCTGGCACAAAGTACTGCAGATATGCAAGTCAATTGCGTCACCTGTAGTACACCGCAAGTCCCATCATCTACGGGGCAAGAAACATTGTAATTAATGTAATTTATAGCACAATCAAACTACCACCTTTTCAATGCATAGCTCTGCGCTTAACTATTCTCCCTTCAGCACAACAATGCACAGCCCTACAAGGGTAGATGCGGCGATAAAATATGCGAAATAACATGAGGAGTTGGACCATTGCTGACAGCAAAGGTGGAAACCAACCATAAGAGAAGCGCCTGGAATAGTGACCAAAATAGTCGTGTTTGTTTGAATGCTCATCCCAAGCGAGAAGCATTCAGTAGGCACAAAAATCTCTTGACAGAACAGTTGTTATCAATCTTTGGGGTGGGAGAGGTACATTCGTAACGTGCGGTCTCCTGACCTCCTTCCACTGGTTGGCATAGGGTAAATAAATAATGCCCTTATCCAGTCAGGTTAATCATTCCATGAAAGTGAATGTTAAGGAGAAACAGATAAACGCAGAATCTACTACACTTGGGATTGTCTAACTTAAAACAGGCACAATCACTGAAAACGAGTCAAGACATTCCAGCATTTTCGCTAAATGCCTTCATTTATTCGGCTCTTCGTTTACGTGTTTATGCTTATGACTCTAGCTCGCCTTAACTGAAACACACGCGCATGAATATCAAGTCTGGTTGCTAAAGAAGAAATCTTATTTTCACACTGGATTTTCGATATCGATAATTCCGTTCTACTAAATCTGTGATAAACGGCAAAGGAATGCATGCAACACCTCTGCGACGCCTCGATTAAATAGCAAAATCCAGTTGCATATGCGCGATGCTGGTAGCAGATGTGCCGATTGAACACTTGTAATGAAGATTGGGAAAGTTATTTCTTAGCGGAACAGAGTCAGTCATAATGGGGACACAAACAGAGAAAATGAAATATTAACACTCGCCTAGGTGAGACGGTGACCCAAGAGCAAATTAGAAAACCTATTAAGGGCCATCTAGGTTTGTTTTTTTGCCCTTAGTAAAGTGCTACTATACTATTTTTCGCGCTATTCATGTTTGATCTCTTAGGGTGTTTTGCTTCTTCTAAACTACGCATCGAATTTTGCTGCTGAGAGACATTGTCATTTCCTCCTCAACTCTAGCTTTGCCTCAGCAATTATTGCCCGTTTGATCCCTAACAGTGTTGACTCCCTTAGATGGTTCATTAGCATAACACTAAAGTAGTAAACAACACATATTGAGCTTAAATTTCTGATCATTGCATCCTGATCGGATTCAATTTGCTTAAATGCAAATGTAGTGAAAGTTCTGGATAGCTCCTTGAAATATTTCGCTAACATACTAATATCTCGAAACTAAATATTTTAGCCAAATTACTGAACTATTTTGTAAATGCACCGCTGAAAACCATGTCACTGCTGTCAATTTGATGACCAGTTAACAGTTCTATTCCATTCGATGAGCATAATACTAAGGATTTACGTTGGGTTTATTCATTTCCTCATCATAGACTGTGGTATATTTATATTGCGTGCAGATATCTCTGAACGAGATAAACAGAAATTGGCAGAGTGGTCAAAACCCAGCATGCAAAAATTTCTGAAATTTCAAATATTTATTCTTTGTTTAATAGAAAATATTTGTCCACTGCTAATTTATAAACATTCCGAAAAGTTGAGCTTTAAATTGGTATCGCCTGATTGGCTCATTACAGGCAGAGTTGAAATCCAAGTGTGGTGGTCATTCGTAAAAAATGAAATTTAAGGAACATTCAGCCTTTTTGTTTGATATATTGAAAAGCTTATTTGGTTTATATGAATCGCCAATTAATTTGTCTATTTTTATAGTTGTAACTCGCCGCCCATTTATTATATACTGAGCTTTGTAAAAGAAGTCATGCTTGAGTGGGCACGACCAGTGCTGGTATTTTTAGTAAAGGCATATTGAAAATGCTGAGGTGTAATAAAGGTGAAAATGCAAGTAAAAGTGTCTACCTTGATAAATAGGCCAGCAAAATGAGCGGCCTTAGAGAATATTTATTGACTGACTTAGTCAGGAAAGGAGATTTTCGATGCATCAGTTGCTGCTGAGAGAACCAAAAATTTGAAAGAACCAAGGTAAAGTTTGTTGAAGAATGTCTTTTCGGAAATAATGTATTTACCTGAGCTTAAAAGATGGCCTAACGGTTGGCTAGGAATGATGCATTGAGGCCTCCAACAGAGAGCCGTAGGTTTCGGTTATTAGCGTGCTAAGTTTGCTTTAAAAAAATAGTGGTTTGAATACAGGATGGCCTTGAGACGTGTTTGAAGAAATGCTAGCTTGTGCTACTGGTAAAAGAGATCGATGTCATAAAGATTGTAAACGCTAAGGCAACGTAAATTGAATGCGATCAAGCTCACTACCTCTGCGCAGTCAGCGATATTGCACATATTGGTCCTAGAAAAACTGGAGCGTGACTTCTGGCTAGTAGGGACTGAGCCAATGGGGAACGCCGAAGATTTAATTTGAGTGCAAGCCAGTGGATTCAGTTGAGCTTAGCCTTAACAAGGGATTAACCTTGGCCTTTGAAAGAATACCAGGACCCTTGGAATACACCTCTACTCAACATGACCTAATCGGGGGGAGGTGAACGAAAATTTGCAAGTATAGGATATTCGGAAACTAGTTATTATTCAACACCTCTTAGAAAAAGAAAATAAATCTTTTTAGGATTGCAGTCTCTAACATCAAGCTTTTGTAAAACACTCATCAAATACCCAACTGAAAATTCAAAATTTTACACGATGGCAATGGTGCTGCTGAGAAGAGATTTAGGAACAAAATTTTCGTGTAAAACTACAGTGAGATAGTTTACACTGCATAGATGGGGAATTTGGGGTTGCAAGCGACAATATAGACCACTTCAAGATAAAAGCGCTTATAACCAAGTGCAGTGACACTGTTTTTGTGAAAGTGGGAAATCGGTTTTTACCCCTACTAACTAGAGGCAAAGTAGTGCGAACATTTTGTATTGAGGAAGGGTTCAGGGACCACTAATTTATTTCTTACCCGGTTCAATTCATAGAGTCGTACCAGTAGTAAAGAAATGTTCGTCGAGTGACAAGTGGTAAGAGGTGCCATTTTATGCCTCAGTTTGCTGAGCAAACAAATATGCCTTTGTAAAATGATCGAAGACTTCTGTTCTTTGATGGTCTACAATCCACTCTGTTTTTAAAGACAATAAGAGACCGGTGCGTTTTTGCTAGATTTGTATATTTTGTAGCGTAAAATAAGCTGTTTAACTCTTTTTATTGAAAAGGATTAGAATAAGAACTAGAAAATGCAGTTATTTGGTAAAAATCGTTTTAAAGAAGAGTAAAGGGATAAGGTCAGTAAATGAAGTAAGGGAACAGCTGAGCAGCTACCGAAATGATTAGAACGAAATTGATAATGATGATTGGTAGAACTAGACAACAAAGTAAGATTGCAGTCACGGGGAATTCGGGAATCACCACCTCTGCATTTCACTTTACTTCATCAACCGGATTAGTAAACTTAATCCGCAAGTGTACTCAAATTTATGCGAATTTTATGTTAACAAATATTTCATTAGAAGGCTTGATTTAAACTCACCTTTCAGCTAGAATCCGTCAACGTGAGGTTTGAAATTGGGTTTGATGTTCTACTTGCATTTGATAATAGGCAGTTTGTAGCTGCAACCTTTACAAAATAAAATGTTTTGACAAAAGTAGTAAATAAGAATATTGAGAATAATTGAAAGTCTGAGCAGATGGAGGAATAGTGTTATAAAATAGATAAATGGGTTAAAAGCGTGGCGTTAGTCGTTATAAAGCACTGAAGCAAGTTAACGTTGGTCTTGCTTTTACTCAACCTCGCAAACTCTTCGGAAGATGTAGTTTTAACCACATCAAGATGAGGTACATTGGTAAAATAGGTAAGTGTACCGCTTTACAGCTGGCAAGGCTCATTGGCTTAGGCAGAAAAAAGCCATTTTGGACTGATTTACGCTTCATGGGTTGCTATTATGGAAACGAAGAACTTTTTTCTTCCAGCACCATTTATTCCCAAGTTCTTCTCAAATGGACCACTTACAATATGTCGATAGTAAATTTAAGGCCTTACGGGCCATAAATATGGTACAACTTTTGGACATCAGATGTCAATATCAGCAACAGTAAAACGTTTTCCAAATTCCAATAATTCTTGCAATTTTTTTGAAAAAAATATTTGGAATTTTCGAAACTCAAAGTTTTTTTAAAGTTTTGTACCTCCTATATCTATTTTCACTTTGTTCTGGCTGTTCTAAACATTGTTCTAAATAATATTTTGCTTTGCTTGCAACTTACGGAAAATCAGAGAGCCCTCATGTTGCTCTTCTTCGGATAAAATCTACTTAAATTAAAGGATCATGAGTGATACGGAAGAAAGATATCAGATGCTGGCGCCTGAGTCTTTGCGGAATAGGCATCTATTTTTACTTAATCCCTATTTTAGGCTCCACACAAAAGGCTTTGCCTTGTCGATTATGCTAAGTCCTAAAGCCAAATTCAAGAGAAAATATCAACTAAATAAGTCCTTCGTGCAGATTTTTTGCGACTTGAATACTTCGCCCTGATTCGCTACTTACACTACCCCGTAAATGACAGTATTTCTCTACAACCCTGTCTAGATGTTACTTGCAGCTCATATGAAAACTTAATACCGTTGAACAGCGACCAAAAAAGTTGCCGAAAATGGGAATTGAAAGAAGCTGTTGACTACTCACTGACTTAACACATGTTTTAGTGTGCGTTTAGCTGTCCTACCTCCCCGAATTAAGTCAGAGTTTACTTCCGCCCATTTGTATGATCCACTGCTCTTATTAATTAAACTGTTAGGTGTCTGAGTGAACTTGATGTTGATTAAGGTGTCAGCCAGAACAGACATGTTTGTTACCGACTTGGGTGGGTAAATAGGGCATATTTCGTTGGTGCAAATGGTGTTTACATGTCTACTAAAATGGCTGCGATCTTATTCTCACCCCTTTATAGCACTTCAACTGGCCTTGGACATGTGCGTGGTATTGGCTGAACAGAAAGGAGAATAAGTACACTTGTTTTGGGACAATTTAAAATATGGTCTATCTTATGTGTGGATCTTGAGTGGAATGCAAGCGAACAACATTTGAAAGTCCATAGTCAGTTGTACCCTACAAATCAATCACTAAATGTGGTAATTCCTTTCAGAAGCACCAATCTGATGTGCCAAGTCTGAGACCAACTATCAAGGCTATTGCGCAGTTAATCAAGCGATACTACTTGCATCTTTAATAGTGTTACGTGGCGACAGCAGCAAACTTTCTCGGTTGGATGTGAAAATAACGGCCTCAAAGCCATTACCTAATTATGCGCAGTTAAGGCGATTTCACTGATTGATGTAGAGTATCTGTGCATCTCACTCTTCCCAAATTAGGAAATTAATAATTTCCTCCAAAATCAAGAGTTAAATGAATGAAGCCTTAGTATTAGTGAGGTCAATCACATGATCTCTTCCATAATCTCATTCAGTAAGAACCGCAATTTTTAACAGTCTAATGAGACAATTGGGTTAAATGCCTGTTTAAAGGGAAGATTGAGAATCTGCGATTGCTACTGCATCCAGCAAAAAAAATTTGTTCTCAAAAATTAAATACGAATCGAAAATTTGGTAAAGTATTTTGTATCTACACATCCTCTTGTGTATGTTCTTTATGTATCCTCTCATTTATGCTTTGTATTTACTTAATTATTCATTCTCACGTTCCTATTATTTAGGAAAAGTTGTTTTTTCTGAGTGTGATCTAGAAAATTCTTAGGAGTAACATTCTCAATCAATTAGTTCTCCTAAAAACGAGCCTCAAAGGCTTTTTTACGTACTTTGAGAATTAGAGAAAATGCTCGAGCATAAACTGCTGGTTTTGAAAACCACTATTTGTATTATTCCATATTGGGATCAACTCATTAAATACCATGCTGACAAATAATTTGAGATGCACTTTTTCCTTAGATCAATCTAGTCAATTTTGGTTAGACTAAAAATTACTCTCATTGGTGATAAAAACAAGTAACTTTGGGTTACAATGTGATAAGTTCTTGAAAAGTCCTTATTAAAGAATGCTCGGAACCGCTTTTTTGAATTCGGTATGTTTAAGGTCCACTTACTCCCATATTACCAGCGCCCTTCTATACGATCACCCAATTTTCAAATCGCGCATCACTTAGTGTGCATTTGCTTAAAGCCTTAATTATTGCCTTACCGGCATCTCCATGTTGCTGCGACATCCCATTTTCTCATAGTTTTAATTTCTTTTGCAATTTGTTTGCCTGACCCAAAATCTGTTCATTCTTCCATTCCGGTATAGTTGATGATGTCGGCGTCGATTGCGGCCGAAAACAAATCATGAGGAAAGCTCGGACGATTAAGAGTATTCTTTGGCATTGAAGATAGAGGTAGAGACTAAAATAAGTAATTTTTAGCAACTCAACAAAGTTCTTGTTATCTCTGAAAGGACAAGGCTCGTAGATCTCCTCTTCCTTGGCCCTCATACTCTTAGAGCACCCAGGTTGACTTGGGCTTGTCATATTCATTGAGTAAAGCAAATGGGGCGAGTTGGTACAAATTCTGGAAGGTTTGGACAAAAAACCTTTCTCGACGCTATGAGAAATTGAAGGTTAGCAATGCAAAAGTCAGTTGTTTTAGCAGTTTTGGTGAGAAGGGTAAGGTCTTATGTGGATTGCGCATTCGGTACACTGCCTCTAAAGCAATCGCACTACTTTGCCCTAATGCTGAGTAAAACATTAGGCTTTGTGGTGGGTTGAGGAAGTTGAGATGGCGCAGCCGTGCTGTGAATTTGCACAGCCTATTCACAAAATATTACGGAAAAATGATAGAGGGATTGCACTTTATATATGCTTCCGCCACTTAAACGTAGGCAGGTAAAGCGAAACATGATAAAGGCTAAATTAGTATTTTTATCAATTGAGCCTTTAATTTTTAGTTCATTTGCAAGGAGTAGGGGGAATCATGTAAAGCTGCAGACGTAAATAACTACAGACTAATTTAAAATAAACTGAAATGACTATGGCGAGGTAAATAGTAAGAATGGATGTAGGCGAACGACTAAGAATATAAGGGAAGAGCACAAGGAAAACGTATTTGCAATATTAAGAGTCGGCACATAAATGAAGATCGGAATGTGCTGAAGAAGCTGAATCCGTCACCGTTAATTCGCGCTCATCTGCTTTGGGCCCACTCTCGGTCATCTCTGATCCCCCGTCAGAGTCTACGCATGTCCACCGGTCACCCTGCATTAACTCGGCATAGTCAAATTCTTCATGAACTGCAGTGAACTTGAGCACTCTCGATGCCTCCTCTTCCATTTCACACTTCCCTGCGGAAGGCAAATCAAACAATGCTAGCTGTTTCATCAAACTTTCACCAAATACTGTACTTTGCATTTTGAACATAGAAGGTAGTATGTTCTACTCTTGAAGCTATGAACAAATATTCATGTACGTGATGCATCCCTTAAAATGCGCACGATAGCCATATGCTACACAAAGTCGAAACAAACTGATGAAAAGACAATATGCAAAGATGCGTGAAAATAACGAAGAGTAACAGGGATTAAAAGTAGCATATAAAATTCTGTGGTGAAAAATGATAGCGACCCATTTCGATCACCGGCCGCTGTTGAGGCACAATGCTATGTTCCCTGTCTTATATAGGCACCTTCACTATACACCCTTTGGTAAGCTATTATTAGACTCGTAATAAATTGATTTCAAAACCACCGAAATATGGCAGCCGTCGTGCAATGCATTGACTTCCTCACAACTACCTATTTTTAAACCCATTATTAGTAAACAATTAAACCATGAATAAATAGTAACCGAAATTTAGTCTATAAGCCTTTGCACAACTGGATATTATTCGATTAGTAGAATACACAAATGTCAAAAATCGAGGAGAATTTGGAACCAAGCTGCAATCAGTGGACATTCTCGAAACTGGATTTAAGTGGTGGTTGACATTTGCCTTAGCAACAAAAACCCTCTAGGAGCAGATATTTGACTGAAGAACGCAGACTTTCGAAGTGCTATGATTGTTTGACTGACAGTTGAAATAAGTGATTTTAATTTTCACTCGGTTGCAAGGCAGCCGGACCTATGTGACATTAAAACTGAATACCTTTGCCTGGTGTTGCAAAGGCGTGACAGTGTTCTCCATAAATTAATGATGATTGACCGTACTGGATCGAGCTGGATTGGAATAAAAGCCGATGACGCAGCTAGTTAACACATCAACCTTAAGTTTACCTATCCACCCAACAATGTGTCAGAAAGTAATTCATGAACTACTAGCAAGTCCTAGCCTTCACCCAGTTACCTGCATCTGATTTTATTCACTTATTTGTAAGCCATTCAAATTATTACTATAGATTCGTCAATCTACTTAATCATTGACTACACAACCGCTAAATCTATGTATATCTTTCAAGATTAATTAGTCCGTCCAATCCGCATCTATTTACTCGATCCACCCATCCATTCGTCCAACCAGCTACCTCTTCAAAACCGCCTTTACTATTTAAAACAATTTTAACTCAGTTCATTCTCACCTTATTCTTAATACCCGCTAGCCAGCGTGTAGATAACAAATGGCCTCAATGTCCACAAACAATGCAGATCTCACAGCTCTTATCCACACAACTCACATTCCAAAAGTCACGTGAATTACTTCTTCCACTGCCTGTCATACCGGAGATACAAGAAGTCGCAGGGCAAGAAAGGCTCCTGTTCTCAGCATTGCCAACACGAAGAGCAAAGTCGCCCATTGAGGAAGTGGTTCTTAACGATGCTGATGAGAGACCCATTAAATGGTGCCTAGCAATACGACATTGGTCATGTGGACCAGCACTTGACACGAATAATGCCTCTGCGATAATGAAAACACATGTCTCACACACTTGCTCATTTTAGGTGAAACGCGCCGACATTCATTACTTCTAGGGTTACTGTCAGCCCACTCGCAAAACAATGCCAACATCTGCTTTACTGCGAATTGCTGCTTACTCAAACTTGCCAACGTGTTCATCTCTGGTCCTCAGATGATTCGCAATAAAGTAGTGAAATATGACCTTTAGAAATCATAGCACTTTTAACAGCGCCATGGTTACCAAGATTGCTTCTGCCAGGTTGATAGTTTTGGACCCAATCCAGTCAATTATTTTGAAGAGTGATGGTACAATATGAAGAGATCAGGCAAGCATCAGGTTTAGCTAATGAAATGGCTACATTGTTGTCAAATAAATCACTCTGCATGGAGTTCCCTGAAATGTGTCAATAAATTTGATGGCGCATTCTCATTACTTGTCACTTTCTAATGATGATCCATCACAAAGATAATTTTAACTCTTCATGCATATTACTACCTAAGTGGTACATAAGTGTATGGATCATTCTCCAACAGAACTTACAACCCCAACCGCTAATGGGTATATCGTTTGGGTATGCATCGGCTTATGTATTTGAAAATATTATTCAAAACGTGATTGCGGATATATGTCTGGCATCTAGACAACAAGAATGCTGGACTTAATTGAAGGTGCATTGACATTACCGGTGATATTGCACCAAACATTACTTTACTCTGGTCCCGACAATGTCGATTGATTGCACTTTGTTTGCGAATTTTCCGCAGTGTTAACACTGATTTCCAACGATTTTAAATAAAAGAGGGTTAAGGGGAGCTCATTCTTTGAAATTTGGCAACTAATTTTTCATGGTTTTAATGTATACTACTAATAGGTCTAAAAATATTTAGTTGCGAGGACGTTGATGAAGTTGCACAATAGTTACTAAATTTGAATCATTCCAATAATTGTTTATTGCCACTTCACTCCACTCAGTTACTAATGAAAAGCAATATAAATTAGTTCTATTTCTTATAATATGCTGAGCAATTAAAGTATACCAAATTTTAGATAATTGTGCATGTGAATGTCGTTGTGCAAAGTTAAATGCAAACGTATTGCGTTGCTAGAACAAAAATGACAAATTTTTGGAGACTTTTGAATGCAACTGCTTAAATTTGGCAGAGCAGAGGTGAAAGGTATCTACTCTGACCACTGCGGCTACTGATGCACTAACTGTATCCTATACAGACACCTTAATTCTGCACATAATGTCTAGCTATTAGAAGATACTTTGCGATATACATTTAAAATTCCGAATAGCTAATTGCCAGAAAGAATTGATAATATGTTCCAAATCAGCCAGTTAGATGTTTGCAAGGAGTGCTGCTGTGTCCAAACCGATCCAATTCCCTCTACGGTCACTTACAATTTGAGTAAACCAACGCAAGAAACGCTTTGGGAGGGAAGCCTGTGTAAGGATGCACATCCGCTCCCGTCCTTCCACCCACTCGTCTCCCTAAAGTCTGCAGACAGCAACTACGAACCCCTACGATTTGGCTAACTACTGCGCTTTCGACAGTACTCAGGTCAAATCATTAGTCACAGCCACAAATTATTAGGGAGCGCTTCCAGTTAGAACCATAAACCTGTAAAATCGTAAAAGGAACTCGTAGAGAAGACACCTTTCCAGACAAGAGAATGATATATTACCTGACCTGTTTTGTTGTCACCATGAAAGGCTTAGACTTCTTGTGTGGGTTAACGGTCCTCGTGACAACACTTGAAGAGTATCATGTGGACGTCAGAACAAAATGTATCCGTGTCGCAAAGAGAGTTAAAAGATTCAACCTAACCGGTCAGTTTCATTGTGGCCACATTATGATGAAGGGATGGACTGTACGGTGAGTTACCAGTGTGGTTATGTGAGTCGCTGTACAGGACCCACCGCCAATGCCCTTTAGCTACCTGTTAGACTTCTCGAACTTTCCACTTGGATGGAGATACAAGATGTTACAAATCGCAAAATGTCGTCCTGATCACACCAGTGCCACTGCAATGAACAGAGGGTCCCGCTGAGGTTGAATTTATTGGAACCGAAGTTCCTTCACCTACTCTGTGCATCACCCAGAAGTCGAACGATGAGAGTTAAGGAGAATTAAGGAATGTGCCATGCACAAAGCGCTACAGTCGAGCCTGAGAAATAGCAGGAGGCTCTACACTTCCTTCATCTATATTACGATTAGTTCACTCATAGGCACAATGCATTCAGAAGCATCTCCAATCCGACCCGTCAAACATACGAGAGCATTAAATTGGTATGCAAGGAAGACAATCAACCTGACACGAGAATATCTAATTGCCTGAGCCATCTTGATGCCCAAATAAACGGCTTGGTGTCACGTGTGGAGTATCAGTCTGCTTGACTACATGTGAGCAGAATCAGCTAGACATCAAAGCGAAACGTACCCACATTGTGAAGAGGATTAGCAAATTTCCCCCAGCCCTAAATATTTATTTTGAACACGTTATGATGAAGGGGTGGAGTGGACAAAAAGCAAAAAAAAGCTAATCACTGTGCAAAATTTGTCGCCATTGAATTCACACGCAATGGTTGTGTGAGAAACAGCGGCAAGGAGAATCTCGTTAATAAAAGTGCATCAGAAGTAAACGCAGCGAAAATAGTAGGGGTATATTGTAGGGGTTGTAAGAAAGGAAAAGAAGACTATTAAGC